ATTGTTTTTTTTTTTTTTTTTGTGCTCCGTTCCAAACTCCCCTAAATTGAATCTAATTCTCTATAGTATAATGTTATCTGCAGTATTCTTAGTTCTCTTACTGGGTAATATTGAAACCAATAAATTGGATAAGGAATTAGAAGGCGAGAAATAAAATATGAAAAGTACATACATATATATAAAGTGAAGGAGAATAATACCTGACGTTAATAACATCATCTACTCTGCCAGTGAGCCAGTAGTAACCATCTTTGTCCCTAAATCAAGCGTTTATACATGAATATGATCACTGAAATTCCAAGTTATACAGCAAACATGGAATTAAATTTTACTGTAAAGTTCTAAATGTTCAAAATATTGACACGAGCAGGACTATAGCAGGCAGAAAATTANTTATACAGCAAACATGGAATTAATTTTACCGGAAAGTTCCAAATGGTAAAAATATTGACACAACCAGGACTATAGTAGACAGAAAATTGCCTGTTGCAGCCATCACCAGTAAAATAATATCCAGGGAAAGCACTAAAGTATGTGGTCTGATATCTTTCATGATCCCCATAGAGTGTTCTGAATGCCGAAGGCCATGAGCTTTTCACACATAAATATCCACTGCACTCACCTTCTAGCTCAACACCCTTCTCGTCCACTATTACCGGCTGCAATCATAATATTACAAGCATCAACATCATAATATGATGGAGGAAAGGACAATGACCATTGATTTAAAAGTGGTCTTTTCATTTTAGGATAATTCAGGGGAAAAAAAGTAAGACAATCATTTCGGAATAAGAAAATTTATATGATTCTAAACATAGTGGTAATCTTTAATAGGTCCTGTTATAGGTACCTGGACACCAAAAAATGGTAATGTAGCAGAGCCAGGTTTCTGTGGCCAAGCTCCTGGTAATGGTGTAATCTGCAAGGCAACGATTAAGATCCTAATTAGGCAATTAGTGTGTGCAAAAACCTAAAATGATAGATTATATGGACCAGAAATGATTGGATGTTAGGTTATAAAAAGCCATTTTCTAACATGTTTCTTTTTCTTACGATTGGGTAATTAGATAGGACGAAAGAATTTGATACATATTTCATTATATAAAGATAAAAAGCAAATTGAAATACCATGAAGCCTCCAGTTTCTGTTTGCCACCATGTGTCAGATATAGGACATCTTCCGTCTCCTAGGACATTGAAAAACCACCTGCCCCACAACATAAATAAATGTTGTAGTTAACTATTTCTTAAAAGTTCTCATATTCAAAGAAAATTAATACAAAATAAAAGATCTATATATAGGAAAAGATAGAAACCTCCATGCACTCGGATTGATTGGCTCACCAACACTTCCCAGCACCCGCAAAGATTTTCTTGAATACCGAGTGACATACTGCAAATACATTTATGACAAATGTTTTCATGAATACACAGAGACATATCACAAATACATTTTATGAAGTAAAAACAGTGAAACAAAAAAAATCATTTATACACTAGTATAGACATTTGCTTGAGTTGGCAAGAACCCTTAGATCTCAGGCTCATGCACCCTAAATATTTTGAGGTAAATGTGTTCTTACAACAGTTTTTCTGCTTAGAGATTACAATCTACTGTTTAATCTGGTATATCGTCTTGTGAAGGCTTCCATGTTCACTTTCCATCTCTAAGGGTGTGTTTGGTACGAAGGAAAATGTTTACATGAAAAATGAGTGGTTTTATCACTTATTTTCGCTTGTTTGGTTGGCGAGTGAAAAACTTTTTCCGAAAAATATTTTCTAGTGTTCGGTTAGAGAGTGCGAAAATAATTTTTTATACTACTCCCCCTCCCCTCCAAAATACCCAACGTTTTTAGGACTCTATTTCTTCAAGAATTTAATTTTTCCTTTAAAAATCCACACAAACCCAAAGGAACTAATGTGCTGCTTTACTTTTTATACGCAAAAACAACGTTGAAATTTGTGCTCCATAACTAAAAAGAAAATACTCTTTTTTGATGGAAAAAGAAAGTACTTTTTCTACAACATGAAAAAAAAAAAAAAAAACTCTTTTTGTTGAAATGAAAGAAAATATTTTTTCTACGTCATGAAAAGAAAATACTCTTTTTGCTAAAATGAAAAAAAAAATACTTTTTACTACATCATTTTGTTGAAATGAAAGAAAATACTTTTTACTAGCTATATCATTTTGTTTTGTTGAAATAAAAGAAAATACTTTTTACTACATCATTTTGTTGAAATAAAAGAAAATATTTTTTACTAGCTATATCATTTTGTTGAAATAAAAGAAAATACTTTTTACTACATCATTTTGTTGAAATGAAAGAAAGAAAATAATTTTTCTACATCATGAAAAGAAAGTACTTTTTTTTTTTAAAATGAAAAAAAAATACTTTAATATCATGAAAAGAAAATACTCATTTGTTGAAATGAAAAAAAAAATACTCTATCTATAACATGAAAATAAAGTATTATTAATAATATTTCTATTTAGGGTGGGGGTGGGTTGGTGGGGATGGGTTGGTGGGGAAGTTTGAAAAAGAGTTTTGAAAAATGTTTTCCCTTTTCTATTTTCCTCCAATTGGAGGAAAATGAGTTCATGAGGAAAATATTTTACCACTTAAACCAACCAAACATGGAAAAATTGGAAAACATTTTTTGTTTTCCTTCATACCAAACACACCCTAAATCATATCAAAGTGTTTGGTTGTCTTTGCTATGCAACCAAATCAAGCTATTCTAATAAGTTCTCTTCCAAAGTAATCCTTGTTGTTATGATGGGATATTCATATAAGTTGTTTAATATCTCTACAGGATGATTCTTTGTGATTAGAGATGTGTCCTCCAGAGAATCAGTCTTCCCTTTCAAGTTTCACATCCACGGTTTTACAACCAATGCAGTCTGGTACATCTCCATATTTTTCCCCCTTCTTCATCCATACCTGCTATTGTTGTTGATCTATTTCTCCTATTCTATCTCTTGCGCCTTCTTCTAGCGACCAAGATATTAGCAGTGCACTTAATTCAGAATGCTTCCCAGAATGAACCTGAACATACAACCAGAGGCGGAGCTAGGATTTGAACCTTATGGGTTCGGGATTATAATCCTTTTAAGTTACTGGGTTCTAAATTAATAATTTGTACATATTCATTGGATTTCTTAATACAAATACAGGGTAAAAATAAAAGTTACTGGGTTCGGTCGAACCCGCAACCAACATTGTGGCTCCGCCCCTGCATACATCTACAGATACATCTATTTCTCATCATGACTCTATGGATACATTGTCGATTCCTATCCAACCCTTGAGAAGGCCGAATAGGCCTTCTAAATCCACAATATGGCTCACAGGTTCAGCCCATATCAACTACTCTTATATTTTCTCTACTTATAGAGCTCTTTTATCTAAACCTTCTTCAGTTCCTGAGCCTACTTCCTATGAACAGGCAGGTACTGGCAGTACTGGGTTCAAGCTATGAAACACGAGATTCAAGCACTAATTGACAATCATACTTGGAAATAGTTGATTTACTTGCAGATAGAACTCGTATTAGATGAAAGTGGGTGTAATGGTAGTGTAGCAAGATTCAAAGCAAGACTTGTAGCTAAGGGGTCTACACAGCCGGAATGTTTACATTATCACGAGTCCTTTTCACCTGTTGTGAAAATGGTCACAGCGAGAAGTGTCATCTCTTTAGCTGCTAAATTTTCTTGGCCCCTTTTCCATATGGATGTCCACAATGCATTCCTTTAAGGTGACTTGGTAGAGGAAGTTTCCATGGCTATTACCACAAGGTTTTGGTAGCCAGGGGGAGCACAAGGTGTGTAGGCTACTCAATGCCTTATATGAATTGAAGCAGGCAAGCAGACAATGGAATTTGAAGCTTACCTCTGCATTAATACAGTTTGATTTTGTACTAAGCAAGCTTGACTACTCACTGTTTACCAAGAATGTGACAATGGCATTGTGATTGTATTGGTGTGTCATGTATGTGGATGATCGTTCGATCACAGGCAGTAGCATGAAACTGATTCAGAAAGCAAAAGACATACTGAATCATATCTTCAAATTGACGGACTTGGGAGAATTGGTATTCTTATGAAGCAAGGAGATATGCCTGGAGGTTTATCTCAGAATGTGGCTTAGGGAGAGCACAGCCAGCTTCTACACCCTCGGAACAGAATCAGAAATTGACAAGTATTGAGTTTGATAAGCACATTGGTATAGAAGATGACAAGGATTTAGCAAATAAAAAAAGTTACAGGAAACGTCTATGAAAGTTAACAAGACCAGATATTTCTTTTGCAGTATGGAGCTTAAGCCAGTTTATGCATGCTCCAAAAGAATTACGTTGCTTGTGGCGAGATGTGTTAAAGGATGACCAAGTTTGGTACTCTTAATGAGTAGCAGGTGTTCAGATAAGTGCATATTGTGATGCAGAATGGGCTTCATGTGAGGCCAGTGACAGGCTATTCTATTAAAATGGAAGATTCCTTGATATCTGGGAAGTCTAAAAAACAAAATACAGCCTCTAGAAGTTCAGCAAAAGCTGAATATAGAAGCTTGGTAGCAACAACAGCTGAGTTGAATTGGTATGGATCCATGGTCAGTTGAAGGAGTCAGGACTGAAAGCTGAACTGCGGACTGCCAATGGAGTTCATTATGATAATAAGGCAGCCTAACAAATAGCTTCAAATTCAATGTTTCATGAGTGCATAAACCATATAAAAATTGATTGTCACTTTATTAGAGAAAGATTGCAACAAGGATTGATCAAAACAATCTATGTGACAAGCAAAGAGCAGGTTGCAGACTTTTTGACTTAAGAAATTAGGGAAGCAACTACATATTGAGTTAGTGTCCAAGTTGGGGATGGTTAACATTTTCCATCACTCAGCTTGAGGGGAGTGTTGAAATACATGTAGCTGTAGTGATGCATTATAACTGAATTAAGGGATTAGTTAGTTATGCAAAGTTAGTTAGGAGGTTAGCTGAAGTAGTTTGGTCATTAGCAGTTAATTATTTCAGCTTATTAGTCTTTGTATATAAACAGATAGATCTATACATGAAAAGACTATTGAAGATATTTTCTCATTTTCACTCTTCCAGAACTTACTCCTCCTTTCTCTTCTAACTGAGATTTCCCCTTTTTCTTAGCTCAAGATCTGTTCCCTTTCCTTTTCAATATATACAATTGATAAACCTACCTGTAGCTATTTAATTCTTACATAATTTGGGAATTACACAATCTGAACACATTCTGTAAAAGTATTAAATAAGTTCTTTGAAATTCTAGGAGACTTTAATAGCATCAATGGTGATGGTCATTTTTTTTTAAGTTTAACCATATGGTATTCGGAATCCACTATCCTATCTTCTAATTCAGATTCGCCGTAAACTTATTTAAGGGGGGAGCGCTCCCTACCATAAAATTTTCATTTTCAGGACTCGAACCTAAGACCGTTGGTTTTGGATGGAAGGATACAATCCATCCCACCACATCCCGTGGTGGTATTAATTATTTTATTCTACCACTATGTACAACCAACAAGTTGTATATTACTTGAAATATTGACCAATAAAATGAAATACAAGTATAAAATTGTTGGGCTGTACCCTTACCTCATCTCCCTCGCGCATGAGAGACCTTACTAATGTGGGAGCAGTATAAAAAATTGAAACCTTGTACTTATCAACAATATCCCAACAACGTCCAGCATCTGGATAGTTTGGAGCCTGCAATTATGAATAATTTTCAATTTTAAAAAATGACTTTCTCATGGACAATATTTTCCTGAAAAATTATCTCTGTCTTTCTGCAATAAAGGTCAAGGTTATTTGTTCACTTAGTTAGGGTCTATCTGCTAGAATTGTTTTATTTCCTAGCAACAAATACCTACTTCTACAACTTTGGCAACAGAATTATTAAAGAATGAAGAAAAAGAATTTACCCCTTCAAAAACCACATTAGTTGCTCCATTTAACAAAGGTCCATAGGTAACGTAGCTATGTCCGGTAATCCAACCACAGTCAGCTGTACACCTACAAAACACATCAAAAAATAATTACCTAAAATATATCAATAAGGAAGAAAAGAATTGGAAATTGATGTGGCTCTAATAACCAAAGCAGGAAATAGGAATTTGATTTTGGTACTTCTCTATTGCTTTTTGGCCCCTATTAAATGACATTCTTGCTGCTGACTTTAACTATGCAAAGCATAAGACAGTAATTAATGTATTGAAACGTAAAAGGAGTTCTAAGTCATTTTCAAGTGAGAAGATTGCAACCGTAAATTCTTAACTCAACTAGTTTGTTTGAGGTATGGTTCAATAGGTATAACTTTTCGTGCTAAATTTTGTAAATTGAGGGTGTGTTTGGTACGAGGAAAAATTTTCCTTGGAAAATATATATATATATATTTTAAAATAAGTGGTTTCCTTACTTATTTTCTAATGTTTGGTTAGGCAGCAAAAAATTATTTTTGAAAAATATATAACTTAGGCAAGAATTATATGAGACTAAATAGANGGGTTTGAGGAAGGTTGAAAAAAAGTTTGGGGAATTATTTTTTCTACTTTTCATAGGGAACAACTTTATACGTAACTCAAATTATCCAGTTGTTAAAGGTATTGAAGGAAGAAATGGCTTGAACATACCAATAAACGTCTTTCGGTTTGTAGTCAAATGCATACTTGAATGTTGTCGCAGTGTATACCATATATCCTCCAGTTGTATGAAGAACACCCTTAACATCAACTTAAAGTCATCAAAATACTGAAATATATAAGAGAACAATTACTCCAAGAATTACAAGCAAGAAATTGAATTCACCTTAGGCTTTCCAGTACTGCCACTGGTGTATAGCAAGAAAAGTGGATCTTCTGCATCAACCCATTCCACCTCACATGTAACTGGATATTTTGGAACTACATCCTGGAATAATACAATTAAGTCGGATATTAAATGATTAATAAGAATCAGCAAAAATTGCATTTTGGTTCAGGTTTTATATTCTTCTTTCTCATTTTTTTTTTTCCAATCGTTTAGGAGTCATAAGTTCTAATAGTAATAGTGTAAATTCCATCCATGGGTGATACCCGAACTAATGATTTATTGCACATAATTTTCTTAACTAAATTTTGTGACGAGATATACCTACACAAAGCAAAAGTAAGATCCACCGGAAAATATGAGCATTCCTTACTAAATATTCCCTATATAGAAAAATATATATGAACTATTTAAAACCCCAATAAACGTTAGTGGGAATAGAATCAATGGCCTTACAAAGGTTTTGAACCACATTGACCACTAAGCTATACTTTTGAGCTGTGTTAAAGGGATTCAAAAATATAATATATAAAATACAGATTTTTCTTTATATATACAATATAATTTTTTGGCGAAGGAAGTTCGGTTGAACACTCTTCCTGCCCCCTAAATCCGCAGCCTGTTGATAACCTATATAAAAGGTTAAGTTGGTTTGTACAAACCTGCCACCAAATATCTCTTCCTTCATCCCATTTAGTCATTTCCTTCTTTAATGCTGATTCATTCTCAAAAGTCAAACACACATCTGCAAGGGCGAAAGAAAAAAAACTGAAATTAGGAAAATAGATGGAGGGAAAGTAAAAAGAGTAGAGACTGGCAAGGATCTTCAAAGTCTTAATTTTTATCTAAGAGCATGTATTGTAAAGAGTGGTGACATTAGTTGCTATGCTGGAAACTGGGGATATTTATTTGCCCAGATTCTAGTTTTTTTTCTCTTTACTTGAGCTGTACATATCTTTACTTAGTAAATAAAAGTTTTACTCTATTCAAAATTCTGTTTTAAAATAATTTTATGTTTTTTCAAGTATATATTCAAGAAAATACTGAACTAACCCGTAGCTAGCAATAAGTATTTATTATGTTGATTTCCTGACCTATATTGATGCCATTTTGGGCAGATTCAGTTATGGCTGCATCAACAATATCTTTGAGAAAAATAGTCTTGGGTCCTCTCCTAACTGCATTGCATGTTATGACAACTTTAGGTTTGCAATCCATAATCCTCTGAGCAATAGATTCTGCTGAGAACCCCGCAAACACTACCTGTAGTAAAAATGCAACTTGGATTAGTTGTAATTTCTTCAATTTATCTTATACTCGCTGATATGGTTTACACAATTTAACTTGCTGTAGGAAATTACTTGCTTTATTTTCAAGTTTACTATAGTTTCATTTATTATGGGTAGTCATATTTAATTTCCACTAAGATGACATTATAATGTAAGAGTTTGGAAAACAAATTGAGGAAAGTAGGACGAAAATTGCAGGGGTACCAAAATAAAAGAACTACCATGTTAAGAAAGATATATATGATCTTTCTAAAACTTGATTGGTTTGGATATTTATTTATTCGTACTGTTTGATCATTTTATATTACCAAAGTTTTAGTAGCCACAATCAAGCTTACTAAACTCATATGCTACGGTGGATCTGAGCTGTTTGGCTATTATATAAATCAAACATGAAGTACCATTTGTCCTTGAAGAGAATAGATAACTATTTCCATTACCCCCTCTGTCCTAATTATAAATTATAAATAATCAGATTTTTTTCTGTACTTCTTTGAAATTACGACGAGATACTTTTAATATCGATAAACTAGAAGAAAAGTAGCTATAATTACCCAATTATTACTTTTTGACAGGGGAAAAAAAAGGAATTATACATTACCGAATGAATAGCACCAATTCGAGCACAGGCAAGCATAGCAATAGGAAGCTCCATAAGCATGGGCAAGTAAATGATAACGGCATCACCCTTTTCAACTCCAATATCTTTCAAGTAATTTGCTAGCTGTTGCAAAAGAAAATAAAGTTTTCTATCAGGAGAAGTTTGTAAAATCAATAATTTAACCGTTTCGTTGGTTTACTCATGATTGTGTTTATACATTTTCTAGATCTTTTTTATAGAGTAAGCCACCTATCAGGGGTTAGGAAAATCACTATCCCTTATTATTTTTCTAGATTGATGTGACATATAGTTCACGAGTTCGAGTTGTGAAATCAGTCACTGATATTTGCATCAGAGTAGGCTGCCTACGTCATACTCCCTTAGGATGTGATTATTCCTCGGCCCCTGCGTAAACGTGGGATGCTTTGTGCACTGGGCTGCACGATGTAGCATTTTGACACTGAATATGACAGGTTTAATTATATCTACAATGTTAACAAACTAATTTTTTCTATAGATAACCTGCCATTGCAGGTCATATTTGTATATTTGATATTGTAAAAACAACAACAGCATACCCAATATATTTCCATACTTGTGGTCTGGGGAGGGTAGTGTGTACGCAGATCTTACACCTACCAAGTGAAGGTAGAGAGACTGTTTCCAATAGACTTGATATTGTAAAAACAATCATTATCAATAAATAGAAGTTAAACTCAAATTACATTAGTTACTGTTCCTTACTTTGAAGAATATGAAAAGAGAAATAAGAGTGAAAGAAAGATGAAAAAGGAAACCTGACAAACTCTGGCCAATAATTGGTAGTATGTGAGAGTGGCATCATGACCAGGTTCATTTCCTTCCCAGTAAATTGCAGTTTTGTCACCATTTCCACTTTTTATGTTTCTATCCAAGCAGTTGTAGCATATGTTTGTTTTACCACCTTTGAACCACTGTTGTCAACCACATAAGATATTTTAAATTAATAATAATACAAAAGATTTCCTGCACAACATTTATTAGAAGGTTAATAGTAGCATACTAATTTATTTTGAAACGTCTGGTCCATTATCTTATCAAAGTTCTATAGAAATGCAATGACATCTTCTCAGTAACGAAATCAGATAATAACAACTTGAGAAATCAATAAGGCAAAAAAGAAGACTTTAAAAATATTTAGGGTAAGTAATAAACATGACATTTTCTTGGGGTGAAAATTATTTACATTCCCCAAGTTTGCTTTAAAAATCAACCTCATCCTCCATCTTTGAACAATTATCATTCTATTCCTCATATCAAAGGTGACTTCTTAAAATACCTATTTTACCCTCTATAATTTTATCTCTTATTTTATTCTTTAGTATAATGATTTTTTTAATTTTAATTTATGTTACCGACTTACCTATAGACAAATTAAAAAAACTTTTTCGAAACCAAAAAAAGCGAGAAGTAATAGTCAAGCATATAAGTTAATGATGTTCAATAGTGAAATAAATGAGAAAAATAAAAAATTACTATAAATAATTTACTCGTATCAATAATTTTATTAGTAGCAATCAAAACTCAATAATTTACAAAAATGAGAATAAAAGAGAATAAATTTTTTAGAAATTATACAATGCAGGTAATAAAAAAAATAATGGACGTAAAATAGAGGTAAATATTATAATAAGTTTGCAAAAAACATCTATTTACACTTTACATGAACTTTAATTATAATGTAGAAAAAATCTAATAATAACAATCAAAACTCAAAAATTTATAAACACATAGAGAATAATAAAAATAATGAAACTTAAAATCACACACACACCGACATACATTATATGCATTCTAATATACATAATATTAAAATAATAATAATAATAAAGTAGCAAAATATTTTGTAATAAATTCATAATATAATTATTTTATGCATAATGTTAGTGAAATTAGATTAAATTATATAATAAGATATAATATTTTAACTTATGAGTAAATACCTGCATTAAAATATATCTAAATAATATAAAAAAGGTATTATATGTATGGAGATTTGAAAGTGTCAAGGGTAAAATAGACATTACATAGGATGAAAGGATGAAAATGACAATTCTTCAAAGTTAGAGAATGAATTTAATTTTTAGAGTAAACTTAGAGTATGTAAATGATTTTCATCCCATTTTCTTGGGTACTATTTTGAATGTCTAAAATTAGGTTCTATGTCATTATTGCGTGAGGGTTGTGCAATGAGTTATTAATAAGGATGAAGTGGATGATCGTAAATAGACACCGACGTAATAATTTAGTAGTACCTTATTGTAGCCGGTACTTTATCACTCTTTGAAATTCATATTTTTTTGTCATAAGCCTCGTCTATATCTTTAAAGACTTTTTAATTGTATATTTTTATTCCAAAGAAATAAATATAGTAAAAAATTCGAGAAAATAAGAAACAAAAATAAAAGTAATGGTCAAATGTCAAAAAGTAGTGGCATAATAAAAAGACCAATTTAACCCTTTAGCTAGTATTATGAATATGGGAGGTTGGGAGATTTTGAGGTTCTAACTAGTAGATTACCGAGGTGTTTATGAACATATGTATCAATGTATATACAGTACACTAACACTTTCAAAAACTTTTACACTATCATCAGTATAATTTAACATATTTAATTATATTATAATGCTTGTTTTTTAAGTAACTAATTTCATCTATTATGAAGAATTTCATAATGTAGAAGTAGGGATTAAAATGTGGAGTAGTGACATACCTCAATATTGATTTTCCCCTTACGAATGTCAAGATTCTCAGTGTAAACAGGTTGACCCCATTTCTGTTTCCAGTAGAACTCCGATGCAATGTCGGACCAGAATCCGGCTGGATCCTCAACTGACCTACCATACTTCTCCTTATACTGTCACAAAAATTATGACATATATGTCAATCCCAAAATATCAAAAAGCAAGAAAAGTGCACTAATTGCTAAAATAAGATTTCAGAACGTCTAGATTCTGAATCGGCCACTGATATTAGATCAATACAATGAAGAAGAAACAGGAAAAGATGAAGAAAGGGAACCTTTTGTATAGAAGAAACATGAGCCTGTCGAGAGAAATCTTCGCTGGGAAAGACGAGATTAACCTCCTCAGATGCAAGAGCTTCCCCGAGGATGACATAGTTCGCCATAGAAAAAGAAGAAGAATTGGATCCTTCAATTGTAATTGCTATGACTAATCAATAGATGAAGTGGCGTTTCAGCTTTGGTCGGGCCCAAAAAACAAAAAAAAAAAGAGATCTGCAGTCAAATTTGGCAGGCTTTCAAAAAAATATTTATGAGGGGAATGGGTATTGATTTGGAGTAAGTCAAACACATAAATGAGCATGATGAATTAGAGAAGAAGATATATGAAGTCGTCTTTGTTTCATGGCTATTTTTTAATCATATCTACTAATCAGCAAATTAAATAGAGTAGCATATATGAGTGCACAATGCACGATTTGGACAAGATGGTTGGAGACATGAGCTGTGGAAAGAGTTGGGTTTTGCAGAATATGGTAGCAAAATCTTTGAAATCTGCATAAAATTATTACTAATACTTGCCCTTTAAGATATTACTTAAAATACCTCTTATTTAGCTTTAATTGATTCGTGATCAGTTCCTTCATATTCCTCAGGTAAATTGTATTTTCTTGAATTTGTTGGCATGTTATTAATATTCATAACACAGCAAGATTTAAAAGTTATATAAAAGGAAAAACCACATAGTTTGTTTGAGCCCTCTTGGTTCATGAAGATATTGAATGGTAGCTTGATCAACAATACAACTTAATTCTTTGTCTTTTTCTTCAATCCACAACTATGTTGTTATAATTCTAAAAAAATATAATGTTGGTGGATTCGAGCAACATAGATCTAGACCCCACCCATATGAAGTTGAACGAAAGTGATAAAGCCAAATCATAATAAGAGGCCTTAAATATAATTTTTTTTTGTAACAGATCCTTTTGTACATATCTTAATCATTCACCCGGTTACCTGTTGGCTTTCTGTATACGGTAAAAAACGGTTAGTCCTTCGTATGAACTGGTTTAAATGGTAATACATTGGATCAGAGAAGCATCTTCATAGTATCAGGTTGAGGTCCGAAGTCGGATCGCCAAGCTTCGAGCCCGAGGGATCGATCAATGTCGAGCTCGATGTCATTATCGAGCTCGAATCCGAGTCAAACTATGGTGCAAAGTAAAATTATCGAGCTAGAGACCGACCAACACTGACCCCGAATCAATACAAGGATCCGAGTCAGAATCGAGCTCGAGTCAAGATCGAGAGCTCGAGTCAAGATCGAGCTCAAAGACAAGAGCCGTTGCAATTTAAGTGTGTATACTTACCCTTTCACGTAAGTGGTGATATCTTATTCAGAAAACATGATTACTATTTCTTTGTTCTCCCAATTGCAATCTTTCTTTAGCTGTTCGAGGTGCCTCTCGATTATCGAACACATATACCTCGATACAGGCTCACATCGGCCGGGAACCGACAAGCCATTGTCGACCTTAAAATCAAACGTAAGAACACACGCCCCAGGAACGCATTCCTCAGGCCGTGGCTCCACCGGTGTTTTGTCGACAGCAGACTGTGAAAAAGAAGCTTTTTCTTTCTGAGGAATGATTTTTGATGTTTTCGCCATTTTTTTGGATTTAAAGATCGAGAATAGAAGGACAAAGATTTGGTGGTTTTGAAGAAAGGTTTTTGCAGAGAAGAATCACAGATTTGCGAGTGAATTCAGAAAATGTGAGAAAGAAGTTAGAAAATTTAGAGTTTGAAGATATAAAAGTGATTAAAAGTGAAAAGGGGGTTATTTATAGGTATAGCAATGGCGGTTCAATTTTGATAATGGCCGACCACCGTCTGACACACATTAAATGCCTTGAAAAACTAAACCGACGGGACAACTATCACGTGCGTCATAATCGAGCCCAATGTGAATGTCAGTTTATATCTGGTCGAGCCGTTGTGAAACCATGTCGTTTCTCGCTACATCCTTCCCGAGAAACGAGAGAACTATCTGTATACGGTAAAAATCGGTTAGTCCTTTCGTACGAACTGGTTTAAATGGTAATACATTGGATCGGAGAAGCGTCTTCATAGTATCAGGTTGAGGTCCGAAGTCGGATCACCAAGCTTCGAGCCCGAGGGATCGATCAATATCGAGCTCGATGTCATTATCGAGCTCGAATCCGAGTCGAACTATGGTGCAAAGTGAAGTTGTTGAGCTTATGAAGCAGAGACTGGCCAACACTGACCCCGAATCAATACAAGGATCTGAGTCAAAATCGAGCTCGAGTCAAGATCGAGAGCTCGAGTCAAGACCGAGAGCTCGCGTCAATATCGAGCTCATAGACAAGAGCCGTTGCAATCCCATTAGAGGAAAGAATCCTGGCAGGAATTATGGAAAAACTGATTTATCATGGGTCTCCAACTATGTATTTTTAATTATATCTAAAAATAAGATACATCTACTATAAAGGGAATAGTTATTATTTCTGAAAAGGACTAAGTTTTTGCTTACATTGTAACTCAAAATACCATACACTCTTATATTGAAGGGTTATTCTTTTAGGCTTCATAGATTGATTCATCTTGCTTAGTTTTTAAATCATCTTCTTTCCAACCTTGTGTATTTTTCATTCTTTACCATCCATATTTGATACTTTCTATTTATCCTTACAATTTGTGTTAAGTTATACCACATATCCTTAGAACTATGTATAAATTCAACTCTATCCATTTTTCGGGTAAACACTTTCACCTCTTACCATTGGAGATACTTGATAACTCAACTCATTAAAACTCATATAATATTTTATAAGAAATATATATTAACAGTTAAGATAGTGCTTTTATAAATTCTCATAATCTAATAATCTCAATTTTGTATCACCAAGTAGATATCAAAATAATTTCACACATTTTGAATAAGTTAAGTCTATTTTGAAGTGATAACTCTATCCACTCTTTATAAGAAATAATTAACTCCAAAAATTATTATCAAAGTATATTAAATTACTCATTTTCATTTATTGCATATATATTATAAATTTTGATTATTTATCTCCATAACTTGTATCACATTCCAAAAAATAAAGTATAAAATATATTTTCTTTTATTAATAAATTTATAATATGTAAATAAGATATAAAAATAAATAATTTTGGGGCCTTCACTTTGAGGGACCTAATTGCTCCACCAACCCTCTCTTCTTCGCCTAACTAAGAGCATGTATGGATGTGTTTAAAAGCTGGTCAAACTAGCTTTTAAGCAGTTTTAACTTGTGAAAGTGTTTGGCAACCAAAAAAAAAGGTTTAAAAAAAGTTAAAATCTGCTTTAAAAAAGCCAAAACCAATAAGTTGAAAAATCCAACTTTTTTGAAATTGGCTTAAAAGCCATATTGCTTTGACCAAAGATATTACATTCTTATCCCTTATAATTTTTCTTAATCCCGAAATTACCCCTCAGTAGAAATATTGTTCTTTTAGCTTCTTTTTTTTTGTTCCATAACATTTAATTTTTTTGGTCGTTTAATCCTTCCTTTTATTTTTAATTAGTGTAACTATATTCTAAAATCAAATCATTCATCATATTCTTTATAATGTTAACAACTTTAAGGATATTTTCGTCATTTTAATAAGAAAAAGTGTTTACCAGCACTTGTTTACCAAATACTTCATCAGCTTGTTTTCAGTTTCAGTACTTTTATCCAAACACGTAACTGTTTATTTATATAACAAGTTCCACCATTTATAAAGTGCTTTTAAGCACTTAACTTAAAAACCACTTTTTTTAAGCCAATCCAAACGGGCTCTAAGGCAGGAAAATTTTGTCTGATTATGTCCATAGTAAAAACTTTAAAGTGGTAGATTAAAGAACAGAACATCTTATTATGATATATATGGTTGTGTTCATGGATGTTACTGTGCAAACTGTTCTTTTGATTAAATAAAGTGGAACAAGTTAAAAGAACAGCTCATTGGTAAAACTGGTACCTTTGCATATATTCTCTTCACCTCTACTGTCGTGGATCTCCTCATATTCACTGCACAAATTAAAAACACATGTCATAGAAGATCTAAAATTAGAAAAAAGATAGATCAACAAAGTTTAAATTAAAAAATAACAAAAGATATATCACGGAGTTTAATGGTCAACAATAAAGTTTTAGTGGAGTAAAACTCAATGTGGAAAGTTCGAAAACTATGTAGGATTTCAAGAAAGTGAAAAAATGAAATCCTATGTTTAGTACAGTGGATTAAAATACTTTTTTACACTGTATATAAATGGTAATGAAGAAGTTGGCCAAGAGTGCCTGAGTTATCTTGTTGATTTCTAGGTTGCGTAGCCTTGTGATTGGGTCAACTAGACGTGCAAACTCTTCTACAAATATTTAATTAGGATCAACTACACTTGTTATATCTTCTTCTCATCTGTGTAAGAATATTTAGGATGAATTAATTTGCTCAAGTTCCAAACTTCACAACATGGCATTAATTAATTAATTCGTCAAGTAGTTTCGAAAATGGCTCAACAAGCAGGTGGTGATCTATATTTGCACATATTTATCATTATCAATTACAAAGAAGTATAGTTACAGTAGAATACAATGCTACAAGTTATCATATTTCATCCGTATATGGAACTATTTAATTCCCTGATATGCCCCTTCACGAATATCGACGGTCAGGATAGATTGTTACTTTAAAAAACAAAATGATGAGAAGATAGACTCTTTATATAAACGGATTTTGTACAATGTTGTTTAACTTGTGTTAACAGGTTAATTATCAGTTTAGTCACTTACCAATTAATACTTACAATTTAAATTGATTATCTTATAAGTAATCTAATTATGTAGATAATTTACAGGGAAAAGGATAAAAAATGCCCCCTCAACTATGGGAAATAGAGTAAATCTGCCTTCATTTTGAATTTGGTCTTACACATGCTCTTATTATTGGTGGATTGATTCAGATTTGTTCGTCAGCTAAATAATATAAATTTACCTTTCGCTTGACTTTGGTCCTAAATTTTGCCCTTATCATGAGTGAAGTGGCTCATATCTGCCCCTCAAAATTAACAATTTTTTTTTCCTTATCAACTCTTCTATTTTAGAGTCAAAAGTTTATTTGATTTCTATTTCTAAAACAACAAGATGAAGAACAAACCGAAAAAAAGAAAAGAAAAGAGAAAGAACATATATAATTTTCTTTTCAAAAATGCACATCAAAAACAAAAATTCATAAAATATTTTATTTTGCGCGAAAGATAACTAATTAACTCTTATCTCTTTCAGTTTCTGTCTTTGTGACCATTAATACTTTTTTGTCTTTGCAATTGCAATTATATGGATAAATAAAATTGATAGCTTAAGGATTTTGTTCTTTCCAATGTGACAACAATTGTAAATTCTTTAGCAAGATCAAAACTTGTTGTTAAGTATATATAATAACTCCATGCAATTATTTAATTGGTGTTCTATTTAGTTATTGTTAAAATTTTAGGA